CCACTTCTCCGCTTCCCCCAGCTCCTGGCAACCTCCATTTTACATTCTGTCCCTTTGAAGTTGACTACTCTAGGTATGGCGTCTAAATGGAATCATGCAATATTTGTCATTTTGTGACTGGGTTATTTCACTTAGCACATGTCTTCAAGTTTCCTCATTGTTGTGGCATGTGTCAGAATTTCCTTCCTTTTTAAGGCTAAATAATTGTGTAGACTTTTAAGTGAAGATATTGCAGGCTCAGTTGATGGCCTCATATTCTGAACTTTGCTATAAAACTTCACACTTCATGAGGCCTTAAAAACTGAATTATCTCATTAGTATATAACTGGTTGAAAGTGTTACTGTGCATTTATTGTAGCTGGTGGAAACTAATAAATATATGGCTTTCTTTTCATGAAAACTGTCTGCACACAGTGGTATCTTAAGTTGGAAACTAGTTGTTGGCATTCTTGCAAAGAGACAGTATTATTTGATTAGCACTTCTGGTTGTGGAAACATTCAGGAAAGTCACATTCTATGAGACCTGGCATCTGAGTGATAAGAGGTCTACAAATAATTCAGTAACACAAGGTTGCTCACTGAAATAACCAGATCAAAGACCAAATGGCTGATTTCTCATCCAATGTCCCTCTTATTTTCTCTTACTAATCACCCTTGCTAAAAAGCTGTTTTAAACTCACATCATAATCTACTTATGTGTTTATTAGTTTACTGGGCTTATATATTTATTTGCTTAAATGTTACTGACTCTAATCAGTAAAAGAAATATTACAAGCTACCAAAGAAAGCAAAGCATTTTAGCCGGAGACATGAAGCTCTTCTAGCCATGTAAGCCTAAAAAATATTGCTATGTGAGTCTCAACCATGTTTGGTAGCTGCGGAGGATGTAATCAATGTTTACCTATTCTGGGTGAATTCATAAAGTTTATTTATAACTTAGACTTGTTAACACAAACACATTCTGCAATGTCATCAAGAAGTGGAACAGGCGGGCTAAGGCACTTACTTGTGCTTGTAAACTTTTAAATTTACAAGTATTAATTTTTAAGATGTGTCTTCTACTGCTGAGACATCATTCCTCCCCATGAGACCCTACTGCCTCAGTGTCCTTTGAACTATTATGAGATGAGAAAGAAACTAAAAGGGGGATGAAAAAATTTTGATGACAGGAGAAAGATAATTTGGACATGATAATAATGGATGAAGACACCAGAGGGAGAGCTTGGAGGCTGAGGTGGAGAACAAAAATATTGACCCCGGAGTCTGTGCTAAAGTGATTTTTCCTAAGAATTTTGTATATCACGCCTGTCATAAACATTCAGCTTCATTGTGCAATGAAAACAGATGACAAGAATTTACTGCTCCAACAACCAAAAAAACAGCAACTTGACTACGTCCTTGGAATCTGGTTTCTTTGCTTTCAAATGTGCAGTGGAACTCTTGTGCCTGCAAGGGCTGGGGGCAGTTGTTTATGTAACTCATTGGACGTCTACATAAATATGAAAAACGGGACAGGTTTCTCTATTCTCATCTGTTCTAAAGCCAGAGTTGGCTCTCAAGTTAAGAGGCATGCAGACTGGAGAGAGATGCACAGTTTAGCTGTCTTATGCTGATTCTCTTACATAAGCTTCTAGGTTATGAGATTTTCTCCATTTTGTTTCCAAATGGTAGGAGGAAAAGACATGTTTTAAGAGTCACTTATCAGGGAAGAAAAATGCTTCCAAAGGTTTTAGGTTGGGGAGAACTTTTATAGATCCGAGGATGGTGGGAGATGTGAAGAAAGGACTAAAGACAGACTGGTGGAGAAATATCCTGAGGAAAGATTAAGAGCATTAGATGGAGAGAATGGCCAAGAAAAAAGACTAACTTCCTCAGAGACAGACGACTGGTGAACATTCAAGAAGATAGGAATTTTGACATTGAAAAAAAGGATGCTGGGGAAACAGTATCTTATCAGAAAATTAGGTAGTGAGGTCATATTCTGAGAAAGAATGGGGAAAGAATGGTGGGACTGAGTCTTGGGAAGGTTGGACCAGCCCAAATGAGGAATGCAAGAGGGAACTAAAAGGATGAATGAAGGGATGACCAAGCAGCCTAGGGCACCACCTGGGTAAGCTAGACTCATAATGGGGCATAAGAAGGTTGTGTCTGGAGTGGGTACTTGAAATCTCAGAGATGGGGCAATTCCAAGTGATGATTATATCTAAGGTGGCACTTTGTCAGCACCAACAGAAGCCATAATAGTTGAGCAGATCAAGGAAGTGCAAGGCCAAGCTGTCAGTGCCACCTACTGGCTTACGGAAGCCAATGAGGAGCAAATCAGATACAGAGGAGAGTTTAAAATGTTCACAGTAGTAACTGAATAACCCTTGCTTGACCTAGCCATGCATCATCTGTAATTACAAAGGAGACTTTGGGTGTAGGTGTGGGATAACTTGCAGAGCCAGCTAAATAGCAGTTGATTTAGCAGACCAAGGTATATTTAGTCTAAAATCCTACCCTAGCATTGACTCTAATATATCATGAAGATTAAGGTGGACAGCTGTCAGGAGTTGGGAGACCCAAACCACTGTCTCAGTTCCTATAGGCATGGACGCCAAGGCAAAGGAATGGTCTTTGCCTCTAGGTCTAGCAGAGTCCAGCATATGCCCTTGTTCTTTGTTTCAGACTTTAACCTAGACTGTCCAAGAGGTCAAAGACATGTGGCCAGCATTTGCATTATATCTCTTAAAAATCGTTCTACTCAAAAATCTTTGAGAAGCCAAGAACAGGGACTATTTAATTTCTATATCTCTAAATCTCACCTAGTACCTGGCACATAGATGTTCAGAAAATATCATGGAATGAATGAGTGAATGAATGAGTGAGTGAGCTGTGCTATGATCCTACATTTCTCTAGAATACACTTTCTTTGGGTTTAGGAGCCTCTGTAACCCTCCCCCATTCCTGTTCCACGCAGCACACATCTTGTGAAAGACACATAGCTGTCATCTAACTCTGTGAACACAAATTGCTTTCATCAGCCATGTAGGCATGATCTACTTCTTCCTAGTTGGTCCACCCTGGATCCTCTGCTCTTTATCTGGCTGATGCCTGGACTGATGACTGCTCCGTTGGTTGTGCCTTGCACAACAAAAGTGGAAGAGATTTCAGCAAGGGCAACAATTAAGAGGGGAATGGGGGAGTCTGAAAAAATAAAAAAAGAAGGCTGCAGAACTATAATGCCTGTGTTGAGTGAGACAGTCGCATCTTGATGTCACCACTCCTACTAGACAGAAGCCCCAGGTTTTTTCTGCCTCAGGACTGCTGATTACCAAGAGTACACCTAGTCCATTCTAACACCTTTGCGAGATTAGTAGAAGGCGCCCCTTACAGAGGCAGAGGCTGTCCAGCTTGGTGGGATGAACATGGAGCGGGGGGGATTTCCACCTCCACTTGACCATCTGAGAAGGCACCTTGCACAGTGAACAACCTGCATATTTACATTCTTTGCCCCCTCTTGTTCCTCACTCTTTAGGGGCTAGGACTTCTGGGAGTCACTCCTGGGCTAAGAACCACAGTCCCATTCTGAAGGTTATGTATCAGATTTCTGGTCCACACTGTACCTTGGCAACTATTAGAAGGCACAGAAGAACAGAGTCCAAGATGTGCAGCGTGTTGCCACTGTTAGATGCTTGCATTGCTCTGAGTATGTACTTTTCCCCATTAGTTAACGAAATCAATAGAATAACTCTCTGTGAAAGGCTTTTTCTGCCATTAAGGGCAAATTCTGGTTGCCTCTTCATTTTCACTTTTGTGGTTTAGTGCTAGCAAGTGGAAGACTTATGTAGGTAAGGTTTACCTTACCCAACTCTGCTAGTGCAGTAAAGCTATGGAAAAAGGCAGAGGGGGAGACTTCCCTACCCTCCTCACCAGTCAGGTCCAAGCTTCCAGGGCTTTTTGCAAGGTAACTACAATAAGTCAGGCAGTGAACCTTGGAGTCTGCGTAACACCCCGCGATCAAACCGAGGGTGCCTCTTGCTCCCACACTCTTCTGGCTGGATCTCAGATGAACAATGTTCAGACAGGCTTAGGGGTTGTGAAAGTTGGGGCTGATGTGGGAGGCAAGTGAAGGTTGTGACTCTACTGAAATCTGAACCTATATTTTCTGGGCACGATCAGTTTCCAAATCACACAAAGTGGCTCTTTGAATCAGACTGAAGACACTTTTTGACTTTTGTTTTTTTAAGACAATGTCAGAAGAGGATGAGTGTAGTGTCAATAGAGAGTTGAATTCGATGAATAGACACCCATTATGAGGTTATCACCTGCAATGAGGTTGGCCTCTCTCCACCACCTTTGCCGTGGGAGAAATTTTTTAAATGTCCACAAGTTCATGAGGCTCAACTTGCTTCATGGAAAGTTCATGTGGAAAGGCCTCATCTTGATCTTTCCTTGGGAGAGATAAACTTTCTAAGTCAATGAAGAATTCTCTGGCTATCTCTTTATCGTTACTCTTTCAGGGTGAGATGCAGCTCACATCTGTCCAATGTCAGCCAAGATTCAATTCCCATTTTTGACTAGTAACCACAATCCCCCCCAGAGCGGTGGGACAAGATCTGGGTGGGTCCTGCCCGTGGCTTGACTTCAACCAAGATTATAACTGGGCTCGTCATGGGCCAGGAGCCCTCAGGTTTTAACAGGAACATCAGTAGGAGCTCAGTAAAGGGGTCTTATGGGGCGCCCGGCCCCCCACCCCAGCCTCTCCCTACTTATAAAATCTGTAACACATGCTGACTAGATCCAAAATTATGTCATGCCTCATGACTTTTTGAGGTTCCAACTTCCGGGGCCCTTGGGAGAAGAGCAGACTGGCTACTGAAGCCATTCAAGGTCTCTTCTCTCTGCGTTGTCTCCATCGCTTTTGGGCAGCCACAGAGGGAGCTGGCTGCTCTCAGACTGACAGCCCAGACAGCACTGCCATGCAGAAATGTGATAAACAACTAGATTTTGTTCCCCAGGAGAATACGTCGACAAGCACGGCCTCTGCCAGATCTGTGAATCCTCGTGTGCCAAGTGCCGGGGGCCAACCCAGGAAGACTGCACTGGCTGCCCCAGCACAAGGTGAGCGACCTTTCTTGTATCTCCTGGGGTTGGGAGTTCATGAGATGCAGGAGGGAGAGAGGAGGTGCTTACCACCTAGAAGCACCCCTTGGGCCTACAGGAAAAAGAATCAAACTCCTTCCCCTGACACAGAAACCTGCTGTGGTCTGGCCCAAGGTCAGAAGTCTGTAGTGTCCTCCCCCTATGATGCCCCGTAACCACTGTGAGAATCGGTTCCCTGGACACTACCGGGGCTTTCTCATCAGTGAAGGTGGTGGTGGCTTTGATGCCTAGAATCTCATCCCTTTCTGCACACCCATCCCTCAACCATCATCTCCATCTGCTAATAAAATATCTACCCCTATTTGTAGAGTTAGTTCAAGGGTGAACTGTTCTATGAAAGCATTTTTTTTACCTCTTTCCAATAGAATTAACCTCACCCTCTTTATGTTCCCCTGTGCTCTGTACAAACTTCCATAAGTGCACCTGTGACATTTTCAGACATTGACTTACAATTCTACTTGTTAGACTGTAAGCCCCTTGAAATACTCATCTTTGTACCTCCAGTACCTATCACAGTGCTAAGAAAACAGTAGGCACTCAATCAGTGTTTGATAACTGAATGAATGAGGAAATAGTAAGTATCCGAATGGGATGAGCATCTTTGCTAATACATTGAGAATTTATAATGAAGAGAGTTGGGAGCCCATTGCATTTTTAATCAACACTCCTCTAATTCTAGCACTTAATATTTGTTGGCCTCATCTTCTCTGATAAATGCGTAGGAAGCAAGGTTTCTCCCAAGACCAGTATAATGAGGCTGCTCCAGTGGCAGGTGAGTCTCTAGGATGGACGTTCCCTCTGCCTTGAACAACAGTCATTTCACCTAATTCTTTATCAGGACTGTAATACCCTGAGTAGGAACTGTAGTGTATTTGTCTCCTTACTCCCCTACAGTGATCAACACATAGTCGTAGTTCAATAAATGTATGTGTTATTGAACTTGATGAAGTGTGTAATTAATATCATGAGCTTGGTTCTCCAAATAGCTCCCTGAGAAAGAGAAAGAGAGAGAGTGAGAGGAGGGAAGGAGGAAAGGAAGGAAACACAAAAGAACAGTCTTATTAAGAATTCTTAATGCTGTGATAACATTTTCTAAGTGTCTCTTTAAGATACCTATGCCTCTTGAGTTTGCTTTAAGCCAGCTTCAAGGCATGCTATTAGATACAGACAACATTTTGAAAATAGGTCCTTTTTCTCGTCTAACTCCTCACATCAACAATCAAATGCCATTGCGTGTTTGGACATCTTTGAACCAAGGGAACTTTTTAGCATTTGTTTAATAAGGCAGCTACCATCGTCCAGTGTACATTGTGGAAGTTATGATTGTCCCAGGCTCACCAGAAGTGAGAAAAAAATTCAGCTACCATCAGTGGCCATTTTTTTAAGAATCGAAGCTCATTGGTACAAGAAGGTCAGAGGTACTCCTCCTGCGCCACTTGAATAGGCTTTAGCAACCTGTTCTTTAGCTTTTGAAGATAGAAAAGCATGTGTATAGATCTCAAAACAGGTGTCCTCCTGGAAATCCTATTGCTCAGGAACAATTTTCTTCTCATCCCCCTGAGCGCTCCATTTCTTTCCCCATTTCTCTTCCTTGATGTCAGTTACTTGCAAATACATCCAAGAAAGGGCACCACATCACGGCAATGAACTAGCTGACTTTTCTTATCTGCATTTTCCAGAAAGGGGTTAGAAGATGAGGAGAAAGAAATTATTTTGAAAGATGGTGTCGTTGACTTATTTGTCCTCAAAGGGCAGCCACGTATTTTCCTTAAGGTTTTTCCAAAGTATTTCCTTGAGTGGAATCAGGTCTACTCAAGACGGTCTTGAGCACCTGCTTTATGTCCAGCTCAGAGTTAGGTGCAAATCCATGGATTTTTATAGGTGGTTCAGGAGGTCAAAGTCAAGGGCTGGTGAAGCACTCAGGGACCAGAACACTGGGGGAGCTTTAACACCCTAGGCCTGAAGCAAACCCTGTAGCCATAGAAGGGATGCCTGATAGAAACTGGAGCTGGAGGGAACATAGCCACTCCAGAATCATGGGAGGAGGAAGCCAGGTTGTGGCTCCAGTGGAATAAATACCCCAGTCTCTCTCTCCCCTCACCCTCACATCTCCTACTGGTGTTTCCCTGTCTGAAACACCTGGATGCCAATGGGGAACACCATTTACAAGTGAGGGAAGTGAGCTTGGGGACACGGTCTCTAGTGGGCACTTCCAAGGCATAGCAGGTCAGAGAATGGCAGAAAATGGATCTGGGGTGGGGGTAAGGGGTAAGATGAGGCAAACAGAGTAAACTATTGGTCACTCTGAGTTTCTTCCTATTCTTAAGCTTTTGGGGTATCTCCAGTCCTGGCACAATTAAGGTCATCCCTAAAGGAGTTTTTATCTGGGAAAGGAATGTTAACCTTTAACTTAGAGGTTTTCTTCAAAACAATATGAGAGGGAAGTAAATCACTGGGGATGTAGATGAAATAAGATTGGCCATGTGTTGACAATTATTGAAGCTGAGTGATGAGTACATAGGGGGGGTTCTGTTATGTCTTGTTTATTTTATATATGTTTAAAATTTCCATAATAAAATTTGAAAAAATAATTCAACTCTGAAGTTGTTTTAAAGGAAGTTGAAACTTGAAAAGCTCTCTCTTCATCTTCTAGCTTTCCCTCTACATTTCTATAAACCTTTGGGTTTATCAGCTCCTTCAAGATGATTAAAAAGTTGGGGGAAGCAAGTATCGTCTTTGCCACCGCTATTTAACACATCTAGCTCTGTAATGCCGTGGTCCTCACTGCATGAGCTAATTTCCCAACCCAGTCCTGAAGGAACTGCGGAGTCTATGAACTAATTAAAAGCATGTAAAAATTTTCTGACCCACCCTCAAATGTTTTATTTGATCTGTTTCAAGAATTCAGGGAAAAAAATTCCTTTGCGGGATTTCATTCTGTTACAACGTTAACGTGCCAAGAAATTACAGTAAATGCCCTTGTGATGGCTTTAGTTAGACCAAACCAACGATCAGCGCAGAGGACCAGCTAACTCTGACTTGCAACTCTTCTGTTCCAGTTCACATCTCTCTCTCTCTCTCTCTCTCTCTCTCTCTCTCTCTCACACACACACACACACACACACACACACACACACACACCCTGGGGCTTCTGGAAAATTTAGTTCCAATGTTGAGAACTTCACCTCTGCCCAGCTCTTCAGCACTTGGTTTTGCCACCTTCTTCCTTTCCATGAGCCTGTTGGACCTGGAATGGTTCACAGCTTATGAAAAGGCCAAGAGCGTACGTGACTTGGGAAGAGAAGGGCTTCCCCTGCAGAGATGAGCTTGCCTGAGTGTCCTAGAAATCCACAAACCGGATGATTGGTGGTCCCAGAGATGGCTTGAGTTCGCTTTAAAGAAAATTTTCATTAGCCCCATGGGGCCCAGAACAACATATCTCTTCTCCCCCACTAGGGGAGATTTGTTGTTGGTGGTAGAAATCTGTGTCACTTGAAATGGGACTTTTCTTCAAGTTCCTTAGCAATTGTTCTTGAGCGGGATGGGAGGTTGCAAGAGATGATGTAATTCAGTGCCTTCACTCAAGCACGACTGTTGTCCTTATCATTCGATCTTTATAAAGAATCACGTTCTTACAAAAACTGGGTATGTCACCCGTGCTTTCTTCAGGGTAGAGACACAGGCAGGTGGTTTGAAGCACAATTATTTGCTTGGTACTTTCTTAAAATAAGCTCTCAAGTAAGAAAGACAGCCCCTTCCCTACATAAACATGGCAGCACTACACCATCTGCTTCACCTCTGTACCCACCCAAGTTCGCGAAGGGTTTTAAATGGTTCCAACCATTGACAGTATTAGATCACCTCTCTCAGGAGAAATAATTGCCCCAAACCCATCTGTCATCTCTTCCTATAAAGAACAAGATGTACTTTCCATCTCTTTTTCAACTTAATTCAGCAAGAAAATGAACCTTCACAAATAAACATGCCCCATTCACGTTTTCAGTGGAGAACAGAGTAGTTCACTTGTTTAAAAACCTCAGAAAGCTCTTACATAGTTTTTTCTTAAAGGGAGGTTTTTGTTTTGTTTCCGTTTTTTTAACTAGGCACAACCAAATTATTCCTTGACAAATCTTCTAGCTAAAAAGCCAGAGCAAGGGTGGGACCAGGATATTCCCAGCTGGCATTAGTGCCATCAGCTAAAAGTCTGGAGCACAGTCTTCTCTTTACGGGTCATGGTGCAGGAGATCTGTTTTGACTTGGACAACCAGCTGTGTGTGCATGTCTGGTTAGGGCTGGGATTCCACACTCTGCAGCAGGCCAAAAGGATTGTTGACTCCAGTGACGCTGGGTATGGTGACCAGAGCCTGAGGGGCTGAGGATCCAAGAACGAGGTGTCCTTCTTGTATGCTTGGCCTTAATCCCATTCTGTTTCCAAACAGATGCAAATGACACAGACTTTCAGGGACAGATGGAAGACTGCAACTGCAGCAACACGTATTCAAGATGCCTTGTCCCCACCCCAATTTCCTCCAAACCTGGTATTGAAATGCCAATTCTCCATTTAGGGCTGATTCTAGCTATAGAAACAGGGGGATTTAGACAAGTTAAATACCACCCCAGGAATGAGTTGCTCAAGACCTACACCTGGCCTTCTGTGTGACATCCAGACTGGGGAGAGAGAGAGAGAAAAAGCCTAGCTCTGTTTGCAGGCCCTCAGTGGATGCCACCATCACACCCTTGGGGGCATCACACCCTCACGACTGACACAGTAACTACTGCTCTAAGGGAGCTCTCTGAGATGCCAGTTTGGCATCACCTGTATTACTTAGGTAGGAATCATTTAGCAAATTCCATAGTAATCCAGACTACCACTCAGAAGCTCTCCAAGTATGCTCTCTAGACCAGCACCATGAACATCATCTAGGAACTTGTGAAAAATACAGAATCTCGGCTCTCTCCCCACAGAAACTCTGAGGGTGGAGCTCCCTGTCTCACTTCATCCATTCACATGACCCATCTGACTCTTGCACTTAGACATTGTTGATTTTCTTCTGAGGAAAATTCTTGGACACAATTTACTTCATCACATTTGCTCTTGGGATTACCTCCAAGGGAAAGAAGAAGCAAAACTTTGAAAACATTAACCATCACATTATGGTGTATATATATATATATATAGTATGTGTATAAAACCAAAGATTTTAGAAGCCCACATGCTAACTTATCTGCAGTGCCCTTGTAGGTGATGGCAAACATGGTCAGAAAATAGAGACTGTGGTACCCTATACATCAGGAAATACTTGCAAAAATGACAGAGTTCAACTATATATAGAATAGATACCTAATAAGAACCTACTGAATAGCACAGGGAACTCTATTCAATACTCTGTAATCACCTGTATGGGAAAAGAATTTTAAAAAGAGTGGATATGTGTGTATGTATAACTGACTCACTTTGCTGTACAGCAGAAACTAATACAACATTGTAAATCAACTATACTCCAATAAAAAATTAATTTTAAAAAAGGAATCAGAATTCATGGATTACTTGCCATATGTGTAGGTCAAGTTTATAAGTAGCACCTAAACTACAGGATGGTGCTTCTTTGGGAGCCCTTGGACTTGACATTCCCATTGCAAAGTGTGGGCATGCTGATAACTAAAGAAAGAATATTTACTCCAAGGCCTCTGGATTCAAAAACCCATCTAGTGTCTTCAAAGTTCAAAGGCCTCCATCTGAGTGTTGGCCGGGTTTGGCTGGAGCCTACAGTGTGGGTTTAATCCCCGGGGTACTGGTTAATTTGTTTGAAACCAGAATCAAGATTACATCCCCAGCCTGTTCCTGGCATGCCTGCTGTTGGGTCCAAATCTCTGGCCAAGGATGAGTACATGACCAATATTCCCCATGTTCTAAGATGATCAGTCCCAGGCATCACCCTTGTTTCTCGAACAATGAAACCAAGAATGTGCAGCAAAACACAAACACCACATGTTCTAGTACTTAACACCATTCCATAAAGTCACCCTTACAAACTCTAAAAGTCTGGTTTCTTCTAGGATTTTTGATGATGGTCGCTGCGTTTTGAACTGTCCCTCGGGCAAATTTGAATTTAAGAACCAATGCCATCCATGCCACTCCACCTGCCAAGAATGCCAAGGAGATGAGCCCTCCAACTGCACCTCCTGTGGAGTAGGTGAGGGAGTCTGGTTGCTTGCTTCTTCTTCCTGCTGCAAACCTGCTCGCCCACTGGACATTATTTGGTTTGACTAAAAAGCTTCATCTCTGGGGACAAGGGGGTGAGATTAGACAGCTGTCTGTTCATTAAAGAGTATGTACAACCTTGAAGTTTCTGCTTGTTGTCAGGACACAAGTTCAAATTGTTGGAGACACAGACCCGCTGCCCCTGAGGAGATGAGAGAGAAACTAAGAGATGTCTTTCCAAAGAGGAAAGAAAGGGCATGCAAACACGATGACAGACATGAGCTAGACAAAACTAAGACTCATTGAGGTGAAAGTGAAAAGCTAGGAAATTAAGGCAGACATATTTGGTCTTTAAGAGAAATAGCGTAATAGAGGTTGGGTCAGGGTCTCCTCAGCCCTGAGCTATGCCATTTAGAAGTTGTCAGAGCCCTGTGGGAACAGAGTAATCTTTTCCAAACACAAATATGACCTTTTCCGTCCCAGCCTTAGCGATGCTAAAGTTTCTGCTGTCATTAAATTATACTCCATGATCTCTCAAGTCCTCTGTAGTTTGACCCTTGACTCCTCTCCAGTCTCCCTATATATGTTGCCCCCCACTTTGACTTCATGGGGGACTAATTCATATCTTATTTGACCTACAGAACACTTTAAAATTTGAGCCAAATTGGAAAATTTCAAATAAAAACCTGGGTTTTTGGTTTCTCTTGAAAACTTGGAAGATCTGGCAACACTGCTCCATATGGCCCCCAAATGGTTGACTGGAGACCATCGGGGCTGCTCTCCAATTCATCACAGTCCCCACCCCTCCCAGCTGTCTCACTAATCTTGAGGCTCTCAGTTACTACCATCATGACATTTACACGGTTTTTCTAATAGGAGAGAATTATTTAGCTTCGTTCTTGCTTGTAATAAAACCAAGAAAAATGAAGAATAAATGAAGAGCATCGTGCATTTGCAGAAAAATGAGAGATAACACATTTCTTTGTAAAAATTAAAATGATTTCTTTGTGTTTCATATATAAACAAAGTATATCTGTCAAATTTTACCTCTAGCCTGCTTATTCTGTTCCCTTTCTCATCTGTAAGATGGTGATCATGGCTGCCTTCTTCTAGGATTATTATGAAAATGAAATGAGATAAAATAATAAAGCACTTAGAATGGGGTGGGGTGCATAGGAAGTACTCAATAAATATTAGCAATTCTTATTATTATCACTACTATTACTACTGTTACTGTTTGTACCTGCTTGCTCCTGCGAGCATTTCAGTCTCTCTAGCTGTTCAGACTTCCCTTGAGATGTTCCGCAGCCACTGTCTACCTGATCTCCTTCTATTCATCCTTTAGGCCTCCATTTCAATGTCATTTCCTCAGGGAAGGCTGCCCTAACCTTCTTGTCTAGGCTAAGCCCCCTTCATGTGAGCACCCTGGGAGCCCAGCACTTCCCATTCACAGGCCTCCTCACCCTTGCTATCTACCTTGTCCATCAGACTCTGTGCCCTGTAAGAGCAGTCAATGGTTTCTACCTGTTTTCTGCCGTATTTCAAGCACGGCACAGAATCTGGCATATAGAAGGCACACAGTAAATAGATGGATGAATGTATGGTTCAGTAGAAACAATATCGATCAGAAAACCTGGATTCTAGTCTCGGCTTTGTCACTAATAAACTAGAAGACACTAACCCAATCACTTCACCTCTTTAAGTCTCTCCATGTTTGTAAAAAGGAGGAGAATGGACAAGATGGCATCTAAATTCCCTTTCACATTTAAAACACACTAAATCTTCATATATATACACAGCTAAGGAGTAGCTTAAACGCTAAACAAGTACCTAAAACGTTCTAAGCAACCTATGGCTACTTGGACCAATCCACACATAAAATGCCCTGACATTTCTTCTGTGTTTTCTATTTCAAAGTCTGCTTTTAACCTGTTCTCTTAACAAAATGTATTGTGGTGCCAAGGGGGAGAGGAGGTAGGGGAGGGAAGGACTGGGAGTTTGGGATTAGCAGACGCAAATTATTATATGGGACGGATGAACAACAGTGTCCTACTACATAGCCCAGGGAACCATATTCAATACCCTGTGATGAACCATAATGGAAAAGAATATGAACTATACATATATATATGTATAGCTGAGTTATTTCTCTGTATAGCAGAAAAAAAGCACAGCTATTTTTGTTACATTTGTTAATATCACCACTGATCTCATCAGAAAAGTCTGAGGATTGGGGAGCTGTCGAGCTCACAAGCACATGCGATAAACACAACGTTTAAATCAACTATACATCAATAATTTTTAAAAATGTATTGTGCCCCTCCCACGTATAAGTTACTCTACATGGGTACCACGGAAAATGCAGTAAATAATAGCATGATATCACTTTCAAGGAGTTTTACGATCTAACAGAGGGGTGTGTCCTCGTGTATTATAAAACAGGAAGATATTAGATAGAGACTGAATGAATGGTAGCAACCCTACTACAGGTCACTACTTTCAGCGGTAGCGAGAACAGGAGGCTCCCTGAAGAGGGAAATGTTGAGCGGGTTCTGATTAGCAGGGTTTTCTGCCTGTTAAGACTGTACTCTCCCAAGTCCACACATTAGTGCAGCTAATCCATGAGGCAGCGCTGCAGAAGACAGATGATGGAACGGATGCAGTTCTATATCAATAAGCTTTATTCAAAGCCTGAAATTCCTCTGGCTAGGGAGTCCCACCTCCACACATAAGCCTGTCCCATCTCTTTGTAGAAATTTCACCCCTTGCTTAATTGTAACTTTGTTAATGTTGGGTCTGAATCCTTTTGGAAAGGCAGATCTGCAGCTCTATTAGTGAAAATCCACTCTAAACTCTCTTCCAGGTTTATCCTCTACCAAACTGAGCCCGAAGCTAACTTCTACAATCATACAACAGCTTCAGTAAGCAAAATGTTGGAGTAAGCTTCATAAAGTTTATTTTCAGAGTCCCTCAGCCTTTCTTTCATCCTCTCCAGCATTCCTGTTCCCTTCCTACCTTGCAACCCTCAACCTTCCTTTCCTCCGGCAGACATCCAATGCCTTCACGTTGGTCCACCTTCTCTTCTAACAAAATCGGTTGCCCAGAAATACTCTGGAAGCAGTTAATTACTCCTCAGTATAAATGAAAGCCAATCTGAACCTCTTTTGGAGTTCCTTGATTTTTAACTCTTGTCTCCTATTACCTCATGAACGGCTTTGTCACATAACAAAAATATCAGCACTTCTACTACAAGAACCGGCCTCTCCCCCCCATCATTACATGAACTTAAGTTCTGAGACTCTGGGCAAGTAGCCAAAAATTTACGCATGATATTCGAATCACTGAGGTGTCCAAATAGTCATCCAAAGCTAAGTGAGCTGCCATGCTACCAAGCTAGTAGAAATATCAAATCTCGGCATAATCCTGAACCAATCACGTGGGAGAGCTGGCCATTGTTAAGGCACCTAAGTGGCTTCCTTTTGCACGGTCTGTGTATGTTAAACAACAAGACCCTTTACATCTCTGTCCTTTAAACCCAAATTATAATACCCAGAGGGGTCCAAATAGCAAAGCCATATCTGAACAATAAAAATGGAATGGGAGGGACGTCCCTGGTGGTGCAGTGGGTAAGACTCCACACTCCCAATGCAGGGGGCCTGGGTTTGAGCCCTGCCCAGGGAACTAGATCCCACATGCATCTGCAACTAAGAGTTCGCATGCCACAACTAAGGAGGCACCGTGCCGCAACTAAGGAGCCGGCAAGTTGCAACTAAGACCTGGTGCAACCAAATAAATAAATAAATAATAAAATGGAACTGGAGAACATTTCCTCTAATATCTGAACCCATCATCATTCATTTTTAAGATAGTTGGTCCAGGGACTTCCCTGGTGGCTCAGGGGTTAAGAATCCGCCTGCCAATGCGGGGGATACTGGTTCGATCACAGGTCTGGGAAGATCCCACATGCCATGGAGCAACTAAGCCCATGTGCCACAACTACTGAGCCTGTGCTCTAGAGCCCGTGAGCCACAACTATTGAAGCCTGCAGGCCACAACTACTGAAGCCCGCACATCTAGAGCCCGTGCTCTGCGACAAGAGAAGCCACCACAATGAGAAGCCTGCGCACCGCAACGAAGAGTAGCCCCCACTCGTCGCAACTAGAGAAAGCCTGCACGCAGCAGCAAAGACCCAACGCAGCCAAAAATAAATAATTTTTTCTTTTTTTTTTTTTGCGGTATGCGGGCCTCTCACTGTTGTGGCCTCTCCCGTTGCGGAGCACAGGCTCCAGACGCTCAGGCTCAGCGGCCATGGCTCACGGGCCCAGCCACTCCGCGGCATGTGGGATCCTCCTGGACCGGGTCATGAACCTGTGTCCCCTGCACCGGCAGGCGGACTCTCAACCACTGCGCCACCAGGGAAGTCCAAAAATAAATAAATTTAAATAAATAAATTTTTTAAAAAAGATTGTTGATCCAGTTAGATATGTTGGAAAAATAGGAATATTGACAAATACGAATTCACTCACTCATTCATTCAGTCGTTCAACAAATATATATTTAGAACTCACCATATGCCAAGCTTCCCTTAAGCCTCTGGATCTTGATTTGACATCATGTGAAGGTGTAGGGAATGTATAGCAACAGCTGGATGGAGGAGAGGGTTAGCTTTTCACTGCTCTCCCTAACATATTCCTACCTACATGTGCGAAGGTTGGCACTTTGTAAAGCAGAATCTTTTCTCAATGAGTCATGGTAGAAATGAGAAGAACAAAACTTGGAAAGTTGACCTTTTTGTGGTCTCCTGAGATTCGAGGTCCCACCAGATTGGGGTTTTGTGCTCCACAACCTTGATCTATAGCTGTAGAATCGCCAAATGCACATTACATCCTCCCAAACGCTCTCCTTCCCTTAGAGGATAATGTTCTTCCAGGTCTGACTTGGAGGCTGCAAACACTTTTTTCTACCACCTCTTTGGACACTTTCTTTATTTTCTTTGTCCCATGGGAACCAGCAGACTTCTGGCATGAAATCACCATCAGAAAAAAGGGAGCTTCAGGGTCCATAATCCAAGGGTGTGATTTTTTTTTTTTTTTTTTTTTTGCGCTACACGGGCCTGTCACTGTTGTGGCCTCTCCCGTTGCGGAGCACAGACTGCGGACACGCAGGCTCAGCGGCCATGGCTCACAGGCCCAGTCGCTCCGCGGCATGTGGGATCTTCCCAGACCGGGGCACGAACCCGTGTCCCCTGCATCGGCAGGCGGACCCTCAACCACTGCGCCACCAGGGAAGCCCTAAGGGTGTGATTTTTAAATTGTATTTGAAATAGGGCTTTAATCACATAAGAACATTAGGTTAAAACCTTTGAAAGTGCCTAGTTTACAGGTTAAAAACTGTCGAATGTGAGCAATTTCATGTGGTTCAATCTAATATTCAATATTATACTGACTTTCAGATTTCGCACTTGTAACATGGGGTTAGTGCTATCTTTACAAATTCAGCAGCCTTGAAATTTAAAAAAAAAACATTTATTTATTATTTTTTTATTTTATTTATTTTTGGCTGCATTGGGTCTTAGTTGTGGCACACAGGCTCTTCGTTGTGGTGCACGGGCTTCTCTCTAGTTGTGGCCTGCAGGTTTTCTCTTCTTTAGTTGTGGCATGAGGGCTCCAGGGTGTGTGGGCTCTGTAGTTGTGGCGCATGGGTTTCAGGGTGGATGGGCTCTGTAGTTTGCAGCACGCAGGCTCTCTAGTTGAGGCATGCAAGCTCAGTAGTTGTGGCACGTGGGCTTAGTTGCCCCGCGGCATGTGGGATCTTAGTTCCCTGACCAGGGATCGAACCCATGTCCCCTGCATTGGAAGGCAGACTCTTTACCACTGGACTACCAGGGAATTCCCAACAGCCTTGCATCTTGAAGGTCAATGGTTCTGGGTCTTTCTGTGGTAGATCACATTATGAGTGAATTCTAGACCCAGTTATTTTAGGTAATGCAGATATTTTCAGAGCCAGGGGCATGTGGGCGACCTGATTCAGAGAAGATGGATGCCCTGGGCACACTTAGCACAAGCAAAAACTCCAGGGGGTGGGAGGTAGGAGGCCTCTAGGTGCATCTGCATTAATCTTACGTGTTTAAGTGTATGATTAGAACCGATTAGAATCCTTTTGCATTGATTATGATAGCTTGGAATTGATTCGAATTTTCCATTCCCTCCAGGGGCAACATTGGGTCTTCTGCAGGAGCAGATTCCCACAGTCTCATACTGGGAGTACTGCTGATTCTTTCCTTGTAGAGTCCAATGTTGACAGCCGCTCAGAACTTCCAGGAATTCATATAAAGGAGTCAAAGAGGCATGTTTGGTTGAGTGCTTCAATAGACTGTCAATACAGGATTGGTAGCTGTGCAAAAAGTCAGTCCCTATACAGTTAACACAAGTGTGTGATTTTGATAACAGAATTCAAAATCATTCTAAAAGATTGCACTACCATAGAAATGCATCTATCATCAAGAATTTGTTTATTCTCATGGGATCTCTATAGTCCCCAACTCTGTGAGCTCCTACAGACACCAAAAGGAGCCCAAGGAAGTCTTTTCAACTACAAGTTCAAAGATACTGCATTTTCTCTTCAACCATTTTTATCTTTCTGGTCTACTGGGAGCAAAAGCAGTTGGTCGTATCTTTTTAATAAAATGACTTCAGTTATATTACCTTCAAGGTTAATTTTGTACATTTTCCTTCTTTTAATTTTGCTCATTTCTATCTGTTTAGATAAGCACGGCCGGGAGCGGTTCCTGTACTGGGGAGAGTGCCGGGAGAACTGCCCCACAGGCCACTACCCTGACGAGGGCCACACCTGCCGGCCTTGCCCGGACAACTGTGAGCTTTGCCACAGCTCACACGTCTGCACACGATGTGGGCGTGGCTACTTCCTGGTGCCCTCCAACCGCACCTGCCGGAAGTTAGAGTGTGGACAAGGTAAGACTGCTTCATCACTTATATACCCAACTATGTTCCCAGAAACTGAACTTACTTCTTTAATAAATAAAACCTACCAACTTGATTTCAAAACTAGTTGCATGGCATACAGTCCAACTTTGTGCTATTTGTGCCCAATCAAACTAATCTAATCTATTAAATTAATAGAAGGAGATAAAATGTGAAAATGTGGGTGACACATATATCCTCAGTCATGGTTGTGGGTTTCATAATTGCTCTATGATTTGCTTGAAAATAAGCTACACGCCAACATATTTTTATAGCAACTAATGGGTCTCCATTCAGTGAAAATGAAATTGTGCTTTTTACTCCTCTTATTGTATAGGTGAAGTCCAAGACCCAGACTACGAAGAATGCATGCCTTGTGAAGAAGGGTGTCTGGGATGCAGTTTAGGTACGTCATCTCCCTTTTTCCTTAGAGTTGAAATAACTGTGTCCTTCTTCACACATCCTGTCATTCCTTCAACAGGGACTCTTGTCATTGTTGTCATCATCACCGTCACCATCAGTATCCATTAAGTAGGCTCACTTCCACGTAAACAGGGTCACAGTGAGAGATGCTCCCTTTTGAGGCAATGGATAGGTCACTAGTCTTCGCGAAACTCAAGTTTAGGAAAGGACAGGTATCTTTTCCTCTGGTTGTTAGCTAGTTGGCAGGTGATACCTACAGCAACCACAGTTCAGGGTGCCTGGGACTCGGCCTCTGCTTAGCCTCTCAAGGTGACAATTTTGAAATGAGTAACGGTGGGAGAGAAATAAACTCAAGCAAAGAAATACATAATTACTCGAACTCACTCCGTATATGAAACACAAAAGCTTTTCAGAAGTTTGGGAATTTTCCTTTGCAAAAATGATTCTACTGCTTGGAGCCCAAGACAATCTTTTGAGAGGAAAGCAACATGGAGTCAGTAGAGTTTAAAATCCCCATCATACAATGAAAAGCACTTGCCAGTCTTCCGTATAATTCTCTAGTTCAAATTATTGCCTTCTCCTTTCTCCCCATGCATGCCTGGTTCTCCTGCGGAACAGGGTGTATCACACAGCACCATTGGATTGGACGTAAAGTGAAAAATCGGGACGTAAAGGCCACCAAACTCCAAGAGTGTATCTTAATGCAAATTTAGGCAAGATATTGACATAATTGGCACTTGGTCTTACGGATCTTTGAAAGGAAACCCAACCTAAATTAAAGATGGATGGGATAATCTCTCTTCATAGAGTTTCCATGAAACCCTGTGACTGGTTGACTCATGCTTCTAAAACTTCAATGTGCACACACATCACTAGGGGGATTTGTTAAAATGCAGATTCTGATTCAGGGGTCTAGAGTGGGGCCTAAGAATTTGCATTTCTAACAAGTTGCCAGTGAAGCCCATGCTTCATAAAGCACTCATGAAGTTGCAGGGGGTTAGACTGTGCCAGGATTAAGTAGACTTTTCATTGGCCTTACCTAATAGATTCCCTTAATTCTTAAATATTATACATGAGTTATAATTTATCTGATGACCATCACCATCTGTCTGCCTTCAATGGAAAGACGTATTATCTATAATATATGTAACTACAAAACAGAGTTTTGAGGAACTGGAATACCATTCCCCCATTACCTTCCACTATACAATGGAGCATATATTATTGGAAAATAAAATATAATAATAACTCCCACTTAAGAAGGGGGTAGCACTTAGAGTCAGAGATTTAAGGATAAAATACTAATTTTCTGGGAAACAAAAATAGATCTAAACTAAGTAATAAAAGTATTAAAATCTAAAAGGTGAGTAAATCCCAGTGTTTCTTGTGAAGAGATGGGACGTAGTCTTTCTTACAGGGAGCAATGATAAATGTTTTTGACTACCTTGATTTCACTTTTTTGTCCATTTTGGACCATATTTGCCCATTTTCCCTGCTAAATTTTGTGGTCTCTTTTTATACCTTTGCTGTCGTGTGTTATGTGTCCATGCTAACATCTTTATGCATCATGGAGGGGTGTGTGTGTGTGTGTGTGTGTATGTGTCTGTCTGTCTGTAAAATCTCAAACGTATGATTTTGGCTCTCAGGTTTAAAGAGGTGGATGAATGTGTGTGGATCAGTGAGAATCTTGGCACGGGGGTGGGAACAGTAACAACCATGATCTGTATTGTACCCACCCTTCTCTTAGCTGATTCAGCTAAAGATGAGACTGAGATGTCTCTCCTGGATGATGAATTCCATAGCAGACCCCAGCAATGTGGGGACTCAAAATCCAAAAGAATCAGTTTTCAAAAAAAGAGATAAATTAGAAAGTTTGATTCAGTTTACAAAGTGTTATTAAAATACTTCATTCCCTCCTTTAAGAGACTTCAGTTGTCTACTATGTGCAGAGTGCTGGCCTGGACAGTGGGAATTCAAAGGTGATATGACTGTGATTCTGCTGTGAGGCCCTCTCTGGCTGCCATAAGTGACACACCTGGAACCAAATCTTTTACAAGTCAAGCTGCCAGACTAGAGAGATGTATACGGTGTAGTAGGATTGCAGGAGAGGGTGACATAGAACATTCTGCTAATTTCTAATTTGAAATTGGAAAATTTCTCTTAATTTATTAACTCTCTATATGTTGAACCTTATTTATTTTTGTATTGTCTTAGCTGAAATCAATTATCATCTTATCTCTGAAGCTTTTGTTCATCTTTCCAATAGAATTAACTCTTTTTGCTTGTTTCCCCTGGTTTGTAGGCCAGTGATAATACTTTTTACTGCTGATTTGTGTAATATTTGGTGTGTACACATCTTTCTGCCTAGAGAGTAAACTACTTCAGAACAAACTCTGTGACATATACACTGCTCCCACAAGAACTAGCAGCATGTCTAGGGTATAATAAAAGCACAATAAATGTGTAAACGTTTGTTGAATTGAATTTGAGGTTGCCCAAATTCAAAGCAGAGACGCATGGCTCAGGACACACATGGATTTAGATACGTTTTTTCTAGTCAGACTGTGTCTATGGGCCTTTTATCAGGCTGAAAACAAACGGATAGCATTTTACATAATATCATTTTATTCTAAGAGGATTTGATGCCAAATTCTTTGTCTTTGTAACCAATATCTTAAATGGAAATTTCAACTAAGATAAATCTAAGTGTTCTAAATTACATTTCTTCATTAATTGAGATGATAAGCAAATAGAATCATTTTGACACTTGACACTTGACTATAACCTAAGATTTGGGGCCCATACCTACATCAGCATTGACTTAATGACTGATTTTAATCAAATTGCATAAGATCTCTTTACTTCCTTACCATATCGATAAAATAGAGATTAATGTGCCTTTATCTTGGCTCAGAAATGGGTGATGAAAACTGATTAATATTTGCATACTTACTAAAACAGCAATAGTCCCTACTCTTGGGGGAAAATATACACAAATTTGAAAAATTTTAAGTTACTGAAAGAAAAAAAAAAACCATTTAAATTAAGTGCCACACTGGTCAGAATGGCCATCATCAAAAATTCTACAAACAATAAATGCTGGAGAGGGTGTGGAGAAAAGGGAACCCTCTTGCACTGTTGGTGGGAATGTAAATTGATACAGCCACTATGGAGAACAGTATGGAGGTTCCTTAAAAAACTAAAAATAGAACTACCATATGACCCAGCAATCCCACTACTGGGCATATACCCTGAGAAAACCATCATTCAAAAAGAGTCATGTACCAAAATGTTCATTGCAGCTCTATTTACAATAGCCAGGACATGGAAGCAACCTAAGTGTCCACCAACAGATGAATGGATAAAGAAGATGTGGCACATGTATACAATGGAATATTACTCAATCATAAAAAGAAACGAAATTGAGTTATTTGTAGTGAGTTGGATGGACCTAGAGTCTGTCATACAGAGTGAAGTCAGAAAGAGAAAAACAAATACCGTACGCTAACACATATATATGGAATCTAAAACAAAAAGTAAACAAACAAAAAAAGGTCACGAAGAACCTAGGGGCAAGATGGGAATAAAGACACAGACCTACTAGACAATGGACTTGAGGCTACGGGGAGGGGGAAGGGTAAGCTGGGACGAAGTGAGAGAATGGCATGGACATATATACACTACCAAACGTAAGGTAGATAGCTAGTGGGAAGCAGCCGCATAGCACAGGGAGATCAGCTCAGTGCTTTGTGACCACCTGGAGGGGTGGCATAGGGAGGGTGGGAGGGAGGGAGACGCAAGAGGGAAGAGATATGGGGACATATGTATATGTATAACTGATTCCCTTTGTTATAAAGCAGAAACTAACACACAATTGTAAAGCAATTATACTCCAATGAAGATGTTAAAAAATAAATAAATAAATATAAATTAATTAATTAAGTGACAGTTAAGGGGATAAATATACGTACCAAGTGAATTTAGCAAAGGGTGGAAGCCCTGGGCACTGAAGTGATTAAGGAAGGCTTCCAAGAAAATGCGACTTGGGATGAGCCTTAGAGTTTCCATGGAATTTAGACAGATAAGCGAGCAGGGCTGCACTATGGAGGGGCTTTTGACCTAGACAATCGCAGAGAAAAAGGTTTGGAGGGAAGGATTTCTGCCATGGATTTTGGGACACTAATTTTGCAGAAGGAATATAATACTGCAAATACAAAGGAATAGGCAATCACTTTAGAGTGATTGAAGATCATAATTTGAATTCTGGACTCATGAGTTTGTGCCTAAAAGGGAATAACTGAAGGTTATTATAGAAAAAAAAAGAGAATTTTTTGAAGAGGTGTTTTAAAAAGATTAATGTTGTAACTCCAATAACTGTGTTGAGGGTAGTTGAAAGGGAGTGAAGTTGCAGGCAGAGAAACCAGCTAGATGACTATTTCAGAATTCTGGGTCTGAAGTAACAGGAGCCTGATCTAAGGTAAGAGCCAGGAAGTTATGAAGAAAGAGATAGGTTTTAAAAATCACATGAAATGGACTTCCCTGGTGGCTCAGTGGTTAAGAATCCGCCTGCCAATGCAGGGAACACGGGTTCAAGCCCTGGTCCGGGAAGATTCCACATGCCGCAGAGCAAGTAAACCCATGCACCACAACTACTGAGCCTGCGCTCCAGAGCCACAACTACTAAAGCCCTCACACCTAGAGCCCGTGCTCCGCAACAAGAGAAGCCACCACAGTGAGAAGCCCATGCACCACAACGAAGAGTAGCCCCCGCTCGCCGCAACTAGAGAAAGCCCGCACGCAGCAATGAAGACCCAATGCAGCCAAAAATAAATAAATTAATTATTTTAAAAAAAGAATTCAAAAAATCACATGAAACAAATGACCTTATGCATAAGAAAAGATGCTTAACTTTGTTCATTATATGGGAAATGCAAATTAAAACAACCATAACATACCATGTCTCACCTATTAGACTGGCAATAG